GGATTGCCCAATCTTCCTTCCAAGGAGTGGCTGGTGGGTTTGAACCGCCAGCCTTCTGGTGAGCAGTCAAGTGTAGGCACTATGCTACCAGAGCTCCTAGCACCCTCCTTGGCTAACCCTAATACACATGCACGTGGCCTGCTTCTGCAGAGTACCTGGATGCTCAGCTCATGGGGGTTTTCTTCAGGTTAATGAATTCTTGTCTTCAGGTCAAAGGTCAGAGTGACTCAATGGGTATAAATCTGAGATGTGGAGACAAACATGTACACACCCTAAACACTCTGGCACTGCTACACAGCAAATGCCTCAGAAACTCAGCTTGGCTGTCACACAGGCCAATGACTTCCGAGTCCAGCCAGCTCAAGGAACATCATCAGTATCTTTGTAAAGACAGTCCAAGTCAGGGCTTTTTAGTTAGCTGGTAACAGCTGCATCATTCCCAAGGAAAGGCCAGTGAAAATGAGCTCACAAGAAACACTGAGACTGTAACCTGCCGCAATACTGCACAGGGGCAGAGATGGCCTGCAGGGCTCTGTTCTCACTACGCTGGCACTGGAAGCAAAAACTACAGGGGGCTGCAGAGTTAGCTGGAGCTTCATATCCAGGTAGAGGAGATAGCAGTGGGGAAGATCAGGTATTTCATAGCCTCTGGCCTGGGGGGTGGGAGATGTCACATGACAGTGCTGACCATCTATCCCAGGTACTTTCTGTGGCCTGTCACACAGACAATGAAAGCAGCTGGCAACTGCCCAGAGAGTGAAAACAGGTCCTCTGGGTTCCTTGATTCCCTCAGTCCAGGGGCTGAGCCTGACCAACAAGGGCAGAGAAGGCAGACCACAGACTGCTAGAGGACTGGACAGGGCAAAGCTGCCAGGCCAAGGAAAGGTGGTTTTCTACCAGATGCCAGACCATAGCTGTTTCATGGGAAAGAAACATCAGCTCTGAGCTTTTCCAAAATGGAAACTGTGTGGACTGGTGCACTGGCCATGGACAGTGTCAGGAGAGTTAAAGCAGAGAACTGAAGCTCTCGAAACCTCAATCAAACTTTCCTTCAGGCTCCCAGGTATATATGTACCTGTTTGTGCCTATTTTCCCTTCTCTAGAATTAAGTAACAGAAGCATTTCTGGGGCTATTACAATTTGATCTCTCTCGGGAGTAGGCATAGTGAGAGGAATGAGTGTAGATTCTGGAGCCAGACAAACCTGGGACTGAATACCAACTCCACTGCTTAGTAGTGAGTGACACTGGAAAACTCACTTCACCTCTCTAAGCATCAGTCTCCTCAACTATATAATGGGGAAGAAGGTAATAATCTAATGCCTACTGGAGGGTTAGGTATGACTATGTTCTCAGAGAGCCTAAAAAGATACCTGGGATAGAGCAATGCTCACACACATTAGCCCTCTTACACTGCAGGAAGAGGGCTCTGAAGACAAACCCTGTTGAGGGAAATTGATCAGAAGATTAAACAGAGCTGTAGATGGCCTAACTAATGCATCTTGATGTCCCTTGGGGCAAACTGTCACTGAGCTGATGGACAACACCAAATTAGATCCACTTTTTCCAAAGATATCCCCCATCCTCTGCTCCTGCCCAAACGGCCAATCTGATCAAATTGAGGCATCAGCAGCACTGCCAGCAGCAAGGCAGGCTCAAGTGCCTCAAAGTGAGGCTGGGGAATGTTCGGGCCCCAGGAGCACTCTCCTGCAGCGTGCACCCATGCGACCCTCTATTGGCAGCTATGGCGAATGGCACCTGAGATAACTGAGAGCAAGACTCCCTGGGCAAAGATGTCATGAACCGGATAAAAGGTGTTCCCAGTTTGAAAGATACCTGTAAGGCTACAAGGGGGTAAGGGGAAGGATCCTATGCACAAAGCAGTGGCAGGTCCCATTACTTACTTTAGCTTTATGGCTAAGGGGATGGTGTAGAAGAAGACGTTGATCTGAAACACGCATACAAAAAAGAGGCTGAAGTGCTCAAACATCTCTGCAAAGAAGTACCAGAAAAGACCAATGTTTGGAGTGAGATCTGGAACAGAAAGTCTGGAATGAAGAAAACAAAGAGAGAAAAACAATAGCAAAGTTATAAATGGTCTGCTTTGACCTTATTTTCTCCCTGGTCACTGCTGGGCAGCCAAGGATGACTTTGTCCCTACAGAGATTAGAATGTGAGGGACTCTCCAGGCACCTGGAATATGAGCAGTTAACAAAATCAAGGGGCAAAGAGACAGAGAACGATAACCCTGATAAAAATGTTAACTTGTGTCAATATCTGGCGTACATCAAAGATCTGAAAGAAGGCAAGGGACTCATCCGAGAAATCAAGAGATCAATCCCTCTTTTACCACACAAGACATGTACATTTAAAATCAGGAGATACCCAGTACTTGAACAAAACAGGCATGGGTTTTAAATAAACAGTATCTATTTTGGTCATTCCAAAGAGTTGCCTAGAGGAACAAGCTCAAAACCCCATTCCACACTGTTCTTGCCACACATCCCCACAACAGGAGCCAGAAGGCTGAGTGCGTGGGACCGCAGTGAGACTGCCAAGGGCCTGAGGAGGCATTAGCAAGTTCTGGCTAGGATCCCCAGGGTCCCAGACCTCATCTGAGAAATAAGGGTTTAACTGGGAAACACTTTGTCTCATTGTATCAGACAAAATGGGCTAAAATTTTCTGGCTCTTCTGAAAGTTTATATTGAAACTGATCTCAACTCAAAAAAAAAAAAAAAAAAGCAACAAATAGGCATGGAAAGGGAGAGAGGGGCAATGGCTCGTGGTCAGATTTTACTGACCAAGGTCTCCACCCAGGATAAATCTTTGCCTCCTGCTGTAAGGACATTTCTTTTTCCGTGAAATGACATAAAGAACACGGATCTATGGTCCAGCAGAAAGTCAGACAAAGGTTTTGCCAGCCATGTAACTCCCATCCAAGGCAGAGCATAAAGAGCTGAAAGTTCCTGAGTGCTTGCTGATGCTCAGTCAGGATTTAACAAGTAAACTGTCCAGAATCCCCAGCAGAAGTTCTCTTCCTCAGGTCGTGTTCCCTCCCTTGACAAGGGTAAGTGTCTGTCACCCAGTGGGGTTGGCCAGGGGCCACCGACCTCAGCACCCCTCACACAGCATTTGGAAATGTTTGCAGAATTCATGAATAGATACTCAGGCATGCATAAAATACGGCAAACCCACTTGGGTTTTCTCCAAAGGTTTGACATGTGAGGTGGCATTATTTTAAAACTTGGGAGAGACCCTCTCACAGCACAGGAATATATCCAATACTGTTTGAGACACAGCCAAAACCTCCCAGTCAAAGGCTGGCAGTCATTCTGGACGTTCCCAGAAGGTCCTCTTCAATCTCACTAGATCAAAGCTGTTCAGTGGTTCTCCACATCAGTTCCCCAGACCAGCATAATCAGCACCACCTAAAAACTTGTTAGAAATGCAAATTCTGGATCTCCATCCCGGACCTACTAAATCAGAACCTCCGGGAAGGGGTCCAGCTGTCTGTGTTTCAACAAGCCCTGCAGTGACTCTGATGCACATTAAAGACTGAGAACCACCGCTCTGGAGTGCTCTGTCTTCTCTCTCCCTGTGATTTCAGCTGGAGGTGTGAAAGTCAAATTAGCGTCCAGAATTTTATAACGAGGTCATCACTCACATGAAGCCATAGACTGCAGGGATGAAGTCCCAGGAGCTGAGAAGGAAGAACGACAGGCAGATGATGACCACTAGGCTCCCCACATACATCACGGCATACTCCCAAGAGAAGATCCAGAAGGCTCTGCTCTTGACTTTCACTGGTATGTACTGCCGCTAGGAGAGAAGGCAAAAGGATGCATTTAAGGACATCAAGGATACACAGCAGTTATCAGCTTAAACTTCAAGATCCTTCCTGTAAAATCATGCCATGGTTTTGATGCACAGCCTTACAATTTTGCCATGGTCTTCATCTCTAGATTTACTTCTGTAACGTTTTGAGCAACACAGATTGTTGTTGACTCCGACTCATAGCAGCCCTAGATGACAGAGGAGAACTGTCCCATAGGCTTTTCTTGGCTGTGGAAGTGCATCTGTGGAAGCAGACTGTCAGGTCTTTCTCCCATGGAGCCCCTGGGGGTTTGAACTGGGCCATCTTTCAGTGAGCAGCCAAACAATTAACCACCATGTTAATAAAAGGTGTTAGAGTGCACATCCCCTAAAGTCAGGCCTAGTATCACCATTGCTAGGTATGTGTCCTGGAAACATGTTGCAACAAACACAGTAAGGAAAGTTGACCAGTGATTACCAGGGGCTGGGAGGAGGGGAGAAGGAGGAATTATTTGTTAAGGGGTACTGAGTTTCTGTTTTGGGTGATGAAAACATTTTGGAAACAGATAGTGGTGGTATTTGCACAACATGGTAAATGTAATTAATATCACTGAATTTTACATTTAAAAAAGGTTAAAAAGCAAATGTTTATATATATATATATATATATATATATATATATATATATATCCACATTAAAAACCTTTTTTAAAAGCTTCCACAGTACCTAGCATAGTAACATGTTTTTAATAAACATTACTATGAAACAAAAATTAACTTCAATAGAGGAATGAATAAATAAATTGTGGTAAATCATATAATGGTACTATTCATAGCATATTAGAGTAAGTTATTTCTGTATGTGTTAGCAGGAAGCCTTGGTGGTACAGTGGTTAAGTGCTCAGCTGCTAATGAATAGGTTGGTGGTTTGATACCAGCAACTATTCCGTGGGAGAAAAACGTGATGGATCACTTCCCCTAAAGATAACAGTCTTGGAAAACCTATGGGGATAGTTCTACTCTGTCCTATAGGATCACTATGGATCAGAAATGATTTCATGACATCAGAGTTTAAATATATCAATACAGCCAGATTGCAAAAACATAAGGTTAATTAAAACAGGAAGTTGCCAGATAATTTATACAATATGAAAAAATTTATTTGACATTTTGAAATTACACAAAAAATACTATGTATTATTTACAGATATAAATACATATGGTAAAAGTACAAAGATACAGATTAAAAGGATACATACAAACTTCACGATGGAGTTAGCCTCCTGTGAAGGAGACAGGGAAACAGGACTGGGGAACCTACGAAACTAGAACTTCATAGTATTTTATTAAACATAACAAAAGCAAATAAGTTATATGACAAAGTTCTCAGTATTTGTTTACTCTGGGTAGTAGGCATATGGGTGTTTATTGTATTATTTTCTGTGTTTGTTCTCCATTTAAATTTTCTCCTCAAAAAAATAAGATGTTGAGGGAAGGAAGTAAGATGGCAGAATAGGCAGACAAGCTACACAGACCCTTTGCAACAAAGAAATGAGAAACCACTGAACTGATATGGAAGAGAATCCTGGAAGCCTGAGCTTTGACGGGAAAGATAAAGAAGTAGATTAAACACCAACTAGTAGAAGCACCTGTATGAAACCAGTGAGTAAGGAGACAAACAGAGCTGTGGACTGCCGGCTATCCTAAAGGTGCAACCATTTTGAATATCTGCAAGCAATGATCCTATCCAGCAGCATCCTAAGAATCAGCTCTGCTCACCAAGGACTGCATGGGCAAGACTGCCCTGGTGCCTGACAACCAGAAAGGAAAACGCTGCTGAAGAAGAAGACAAACAGAGCTGTGGACTCCCGGCTGTCCTGAGGGCACTGCCACATTGAGTATTTGCAGGCTGCATGGCCATTTTGAATATGTGCAAGTGGAGTTCTGACAGCAACCTAAGAATAGGCTCTGCTTGCTGGGGACAGCATGGGCAACCACACTGAAGAATGACGAACAGAAAGGTGTGATATGCCCTTGTTACTCTTATAACCCCCACTCTCTTAGTGAACAGAGGTGTGGTCAGCCAACTTCCACCCACCTTCTTAAAAACTCACTACCATTGAATTGGATCAGACTCCTAGCAACCCCTCCTTGGGTTTCTGAGGCAATATCACTATGGAAGTAGATTGCCCAACCTTCTTTCCGAGGAGTGGCTAGTAGGTTTGAACCTCCAGCCTTCTGGTTAGCAGTCAAATGCCTTAAGCACTATGCCACCAGACCTTCCACCCACCTTCTTGATGAGCCCAAATTCCATTCTGGTCTGTTCCCTGACAAAGCCTGGGTGCCAAGCCCTGCCAGCCTCAGTTTTGTTTTTTGGTTGATTTTTAAATTATTCTTTTTATTTTCTCCATTTTATCCTTTTTTATTGTTTTCTTTCTCTTCCCTGGTTCTTGTTTTTCTTTTTTTCCTCTTCCTTTTTCCTGTTCCCTTCTTTTTATTCTTCCTTTGGTTTGCCAAATCCCTTGTTTTTCCTTTTGTAGTTTTCCCATTTTTTAAAAATGCATTTTACTGAAATATAATTTATGTACAGTGAAATACACAAGACTAAAGTGACATGGGTCATTATTTTTTTACAGTGTTCCCTCCCCTCTCCTTATACCCCTGGCAATCAACAAAGAAAGTTTCCTTCCATATATAAACCTTTCCTCGACCCTCCACAACAACGAACTAATACTATATTTGTCCTTCTATGATTGACTTATGTCACTAAGCATAATGTCCTCCAAGTTCATCCACATTATGCAGTGTTTTGCAGACTCTACATTATTCTTTAGTGTTGTATAGCATTCCATTATGTGTATGTACCATAGTCTAGTCATCCACTCTTCTACTATAAATCTTAGAGATAAGTCCCTTGCCAGATATGTAAATATTGGCAAATATGAATTTGTTGCTGTCATTTTTGTTATGTTCTTTTTCGTGGTGTCGATTTCTTTGTTCCATATAATTTTCTAAGCGAGCTCATTTTGTTTATGAATCATGTTATCTATTGTTTTAGTATTTGCTGAATATTTATGCCAGTCCTCTTTTTGATCATTTTTTTTTTACCTTTTTTTTATCATTTTTCTTTAAGTTTACCCTGTGATTTATAATTTCTTCCCAAGTTTAGAACAGTCCGTTCTTTCTTATAGTTGTCTTGACTTCTCTGCCATCTAGAAGTTCTGTAATGACATAGTTTCATCCCTCTTTTTGGTTTGTAGTTGTCCTCATTTGTTGAGTTTTCCCACTTTTTCCTTTATTATTCTTTTATTCTTATTCTTTTCTCTCATTTCCCCTCCCCAACCAAGAATTATATAAATAGCAAAACTGTCCCTCAAATATGATGGTGAAATTAGGATGTTCCAGATAAACAGAAATTAAGGGAATTTGTTAAAATGAGACCATTGTTACAAGAGATGCTAAAGGAAGTCCTTCAGACAGAGAACCAACAGCAGCAGACAACAACTGATGATTAATACACACAGCAACATAACAAGGAAATCAACAGACTTATAGAAGTATCCAAAATAAAATTAGCTACAAGATTGTAAACAGTGAAGAAGAGACATCAATTGATAAATGCGGGAAACTACAAACCAAAAAGAGGAAATAAACAGTGTAGGTACAAACTTCCAAATGGTGAGGAAGTCAAGACAAATACAAGATATAACGGACTGTTCTAAACTTGGGAAGAAAACTATAAAACATAGGGTAAACTCAAAGAAAAATGATAAACCTTCGCATCAAAATAAAGAAGAGGTGAGGTAAAAATATTTAGCAAAAAAGAAGAGCCAAAATCAACACCTTAATCCAACATCTCCAACAATTAAAAAAAGAACAGCAAAGAAGTTTACAGTCACTTGTTGTTGTTAGGTGCCGTCGAGTCGGATCTGACTCATAGCGACCCCTCCTTGGGTTTCTGAGGCAGTATCACTATGGAAGTAGATTGCCCAACTTTCCTTCTGAGGAGTGGCTGGTGGGTTTGAACCGCCAGCCTTCTGGTTAGCAGTCAAGTGCCTTAGGCACTATGCTACCAAAGCTCCTTTACAG